CTGCCTCAGCCTGCCTCAGCCTCAGCCTCAGCCTCAGTCTGCCTTCAGCCTCGGCCTCAGCCTCAGCCTGCCTCAGCCTCAGCCTGCATCAGCCTCAGCCTCAGCCTCAGCCTGCCTCAGCATCAGCCTGCCTCAGCCTCAGCCTCCCTGCCTCAGCCTCAGCCTGCTTCAGCCTCAGCCTCAGTCTGCCTTCAGCCTCGGCCTCAGCCTCAGCCTGCCTCAGCCTCAGCCTGCATCAGCCTCAGCCTCAGCCTGCCTCAGCCTCAGCCTGCCTCAGCCTCAGCCTCAGCCTGCCTGCCTCAGCCTCAGCCTCAGCCTGCTTCAGCCTCAGCCTCAGTCTGCCTTCAGCCTCGGCCTCAGCCTCAGCCTGCCTCAGCCTCAGCCTGCATCAGCCTCAGCCTCAGCCTCAGCCTGCCTCAGCATCAGCCTGCCTCAGCCTCAGCCTCAGCCTGCCTCAGCCTCAGCCTCAGCCTCAGCCTCAGCCTCAGCCTGCCTCAGCCTCAGCCTTTCAGCCTCAGCCTCAGCCTCAGCCTCAGCCTCAGCAGCCTCATCAGCCTGCCTCAGCCTCAGCCTCAGCCTGCCTCAGCCTGCCTCAGCCTCAGCCTCAGCCTGCTTCAGCCTCAGCCTCAGTCTGCCTTCAGCCTCGGCCTCAGCCTCAGCCTGCCTCAGCCTCAGCCTGCCTCAGCCTCAGCATCCCCCTGCCTCAGCATTCAAAATGTGGCCCAGGAATGGAGATCTGGGAACTCGAAGAACACGAAGTGGCCTACAGTTGGCTCCGGGCATTCAAAATAATGCCCAGGAATGGAGTTCTGGGAACTCGAAGTCCACGAAGTGGCCTACAGTTGGCTCCGGGCATTCCAAATGTGGCCCGGGAATGGAGTTCTGGGAACTCGAAAAGCACGAAGTGGCCTACAGTTGGCTCCGGGCATTCCAAATGTGGCCCGGGAATGGAGTTCTGGGAACTCGAAGATCACGAAGTGGCCTATAGTTGGTTCCGGGCATTCAGAATGTGTCCCTGGAATGGAGTTCTGGGACCTCGAAGACCACGAAGTGTGTAACTGTTGGCTAAAAAAAGTCCCGGGCACCCCCCCGGATCGCGCCCAGACCCCCTTGGGGCGTCATGATGCTCTCTTTTGACCCTACTAGAAACCTTACAGTCTTCGCTGTCAGGTAAAAATAGTTTGGGGACGATTTTGAAAAAGAAATAGATCGGCTATTTTGGTATACGTTTTGAGTCTTAAGGTTTTTCGCCCAAAATCCGCCTGCAGGGGGACAGGCCCGACCTAAGAATGGCCACGGCTGCGCCGGCGGAAGTTGGCGGAGACCGGCGGCAGGAAAAAGCACGTCCACCTCACGTGTCGCCCCGTGGGCTCTCACAGCGATTGCAGATCCGATGGCGCCGCCGTTGCGGTAGGATTCCAGCCAGGCCGTCCTGCAACCTCCAGAGCTGGACGCAGCAGGGGGTAGTGGGGCCAAAGAGGAAGTCAAAGTTGCGCCCCCGAGAGAAGGCAAGGTGTTTGGGCTTAGGGTTAGGTCGGGCCTGTCCCCCTACAGGCGGATTTTGGGTGACAAATTTTAGAAAAGTTTAAAGATCTTCCCAAATACAAATGAACACTCAAAAACATCCTCCCCATATTATCTGTTGACTATTTCTGGACAGTCCCCCTGTAGAGGGACAGGCCTGACTTAGGCTTAGGGTTGCTGGAATCTGTCACATGGCGTGGCCAGTCTTGGCGAGCGCTGGATGCACGTACGGCCAGGTGCTGCTCCACCGCTCGGCCCGTCGGCGGCTGTGTCTGCCAGGCTTCCGGAGTCTCCCACGAGCGGGTTCCAGCCGGTGTGTTGCCGGCTTCGTTGCAAATCCGGAGGGTTCCAAAGGGGGAGTTTGGGGAGGGGGTTTTCCAGAGAGCCCCCCAGGGGCCTCGGAACCTCGTCAAAGCAGAGGGTGCGAAGCCCCTGGGGGACCACTCCTGGAAAACCCCCTCCCCAGAAACCCCTTTTGGAACCCTCCGGCAAGTGGCCCACCCACGTTTTTTGGAACTTGGAGATACAGAAGAGTCTGATTTGTTGTACGGCTTTGCCGCAGGAAGTGGAAGGATCGGGATGGTCTGAACCACGTGTGCCTTGCCGTGCGAGCCAACGCTCGTTCGACCAAGTAGCCTGTCACAGCACAATGCGTCCTCCATCCATGTAGCTGGTAGAAGCATGACAAAACTCGCGGCAGCGAGAAGAGAACACGATGTTGAAAACAACACCCTTGAATATGCGTATACATTAGATTTCAAGCTTGGGCATCTTCATCGTGAGGACGGCCCAGGCGAGAAATGGATGTCAAAATTGCCCGCCCAACATCCGTGCACATTTGGGACGGTTCAAGCCTCAGAAACAGAACATGTGGTGGTGCCCCCAGAGAGATATCGACTTCCAAACAAACGGCAGCCCTCCACCATTACAATTGCTCGGACAAAATCAGCATCAGGGCCAAAAGTTGTGATGAGGATCCAACCAAGAACTGAGCTTTGAAATGGAACAACCCTCCGCCCGTTCAATTGATAGTAGTCCAGGTTCTTCGTTGTCGATAACCGATAGGTTACAAACGAGCCGCCGTCCATCCGTACACTTGCTGGAAGTTTCAGGCTTCAAGAATCACAAGCCAGGTGGAAGTCTCAGGCGAGAAAGTCGAGAACCGGATTTTGAAGACCATCAGCGCTTTACCCATTTAGCTGTTGAAAGCCGTCAAGCTTCAGGACCAGAAATTGCGAGGGTGTCATATGCGGAACGCCTAGGCCGCCCTGCCAACACGTCTCGTGATGCGATGGGCAACGCTTGTTTACAAGGAAGAGGGATGGAGGGGGAGAGTGAGGAGGACGAGGAGGAGAAGGAGGACATTGGAAGAGGGAGAGGATGAAGTGGGTGGAGGGAATTTGGCAATTTGGTCAAAGGAGGAAGAAGGAGGAGAGCGGAGAAAGAGGAGGAGAGGTGGAAAGAGAGTGAGGAGGAAGAGGGGGAGGAGGAGGAGGAGGAGGAAGGAGGAAGGAGAAAGAGAGAAGGAGTGAGGAGGAAGAGGAGCAGGAGGAGGAGGAGGCCGAAGAGGAGGAGAGGAGGAGCGAGGAGGAGGAGGAGGAGAAGGAGGACGAGAGGAGACAAGAGTAGACCCAGCATGCCTCCACGATGGTGGAACATGCCCTCCCGTCCCAAAGACCCCTCCTCGGCAGCACTCGCGGGGCTTTCTGCTCGCTACGCGAGGCGCCTCCCCCCCTTCGAGAGACGAGGCGCGCCCACGGGCCCGCAGCTCGCGCGGGAGCTCTGCTTTGGAAGGCTTAGCTGCCTCCGTACGCCCGTTTTGATACGCAGCACGTGCCGTGCTCAAAGCGTGCGTGTCAATACGTTGCGTGTTGGTTCAACGTATTGGCCCACGTTTTGGCGAACGTATCGCGTCAGACCTACGTTTCTAGTCCACGTGTTGAGCTCCGTACCAATACGCTACGTGTTGCGTATTGCGTATCTGCGCAGCTAAGTCGGAAGGAGATCAGCCCCCAGCCTCCGAGCCATGAGGCCTGGAGATGGAGCGAGGCGCCCCCCCCCTTCGAAAGGCGAGCGCGACCCGTGGGCCCGCAATTCGCGCGGGGGCTCTGCCCTGGAAGGAGGCCGCCCCCCCTCCTTCGAGCCGTGAGGTCTTGAGGTTCTCAGGGGTCCGGCGCTCCAAAAAAGTTTGGAGCTGGCGTTGTTGGGCTGTTTTCGGCCTCCGGGGGCCCTCGCCAGGCCCTGGACTGTCGAACAACGGCTCAGGAGGAAAGGCCGGTCCTACAAGCCTCGTCAAAAATATCCAGAAATGGAAGTTGAAATCCTGGAGCACGATGTTTTCGGGCACTTGTCAAAAAGCGCGTTCTTCAATGCTGAGAGGGTGGGGTCGATTTTTTGAAAACACCGCGTCGGAGTCAACAGGCATCCGTCAGCATTGGAGTGGCGCTGACCCCGCAATCACCGAATTCAGAAGTCTTCTGTCTATTTTTGACGAGGCTTGTAGGGAAGTGGTCCAGACCCCCGGGAGCCCACGCATCGAACAAATGGGAGCAGCCGGATATCTGGTTTGAGAGGAGCGTCCCGCTGCAGCTCCGCTTTGAGAAGGCTCCGCTCTGCGTCCGTGCAGCTGTGGCACGGCTCTGGACACCTGGCTCCAGCGCCAAACAGCGTGCCAGGCGGGAGCACCAGCTCGAAAAGGAGCCGGCCTCCACCCGTGCACGTGTTGCACAATGCCACATTTGTGGTCAGATGCTTGAGGAAGTCCCTGGCTAGAGCCAGGCCTTGAAAGCGTGGCCGCCTCCATCCGTGTGAGTGCTGGAACGTCCAAGGCGAATATACGCGGTGTTAATGCGAGAGTCACATGCTGAACAGGTATCGCCCTTCATCGCTGCAGTTGTGGGAAGTTTTCCAGACGAATGCGCGTGTCGCTAGGGCGAAAGCCGCATTCTGAAGACCACCGCCCTCCTTCCGTGCAACTGCTGGAACTTATTATCTTCGGGATAGGGTACTGTAAGGGAGTTTTGAGCGAGAACCTAAGCTTGGCCTGCGGACACGTCTGGCGGTGCTAAGGGGAGGAAGATGTGATAAGGAAGAAGGATCGCGAGGGAGGGGCGAGGGAGGATGAAGAGCAGAAGGAGAAGAGAGTAGAGCGGAAGAAAGAGGCGGCAAATCGCGCGTCGGCTACCCGGAATTTGTCGACCACCTCCGCGACGCCTGCATGTTGAGAAACATTTGGAGACGCATCGATGCGGACGGCAGCAATTCGATCTCCAAGCTGGAGTTCATCGCCGCCATCCACAAGGAGAGGAGTCGTACATCCGTGCAGTAGAGTGCTCCCTCCTCTCTTCCTCCTCCTCCGCCTCCTCCTCCTTCTCCTCCTCTTCCTCTTCCCCTCCCTCCACCTGCCAGGAAAGGGGGGAGGGGGTCAAGAAAAGGACGAGGGAGGAGGGAGACAAGGGAGGGTCGTCTCACCACGTGGCCGGCCCCAGAACCCTTGAAACAGCAAAAATGCACATGACTTGTGCGTCTGCCGGTCTTCGTGCTGTGAGTGCCTTCCCTCCTGCCCCGTCCTCCGCGGCGGCTCTCCGCCTCGGCCCCCTCTCTTGCCGCCGGGCAACTCGTGCGTGCCCGAGCCGGGCCCAGTAGAACGCGCGTGCAGATAGCCTCTGCCACGCTGCGACGGAAAAATTGTCCCTCGCCGACCCTCCGCCAGAGGACCCGCCGCCTTCATGTTTTCGACAGCTTTCGCCGGCCCTCCGCCAGCTTCCGCCCAGGGCGAGCACGCGCCGAAGGCGATGCCCTCGCCATGTAGCGCACCGGGTTTAGGACCCGTTGGGATCTTCCCCCGCCTCCTCCTCCTCGTCTTCCTCCTTCTCCTCCTCCGCCTCCCCATCTCGAAGAGAAGGAGGATGAGAGGGGGAGGAGGAGGAGGAGGAGGAGGAGGAGGAGGAGGAGGAGGAGGGCGAGGAGGAGGAGGAGGAGGAGGAGGAGGAGGAGGAGGAGGAGGAGGAGGGGGGGGGGCAGGAGGAGACGGAGAGGCTGTGAGTATCAGGACAAGGAGGAGGAGGAGGAAGAGGAAGAGGAGGAGGAGGAGGAAGAGGTTGAGGAGGAGAGCGGTGGATCTTTTCACCACGTGGGCTCCTCGTGCCAGGACCCAGAGGTGGCCTCGCTGCTCCTCCCGGGCGTCGACATCGGCTCGGCGCTCAGCCGCGAGCTCAATTTCGAGGCCATGGACGTGGCGTTCGACGGCATCGCAGGCGGCCAGGGATGGAGGAAGGAGGAGCGTAACGGAGTCGTTCTGGTTTGTTCATTTTCGCAGTGTCATCCTCGTGCGCTCGAGAACGGCACCCTTGCCTGTTCAGTCCAATTCGCCGCGCTGTATTGCGAAGGCCTTACGGCTGGTGCCGCCGACCCTGAAGGGGGACGCGGCGACGACGACGACGACGTCGACGTCGTCGTCGTTCGTTCGAGGACATCCACTGACCGAGTGGCCGGTGCGTCGCATAATTAGCGCGTCACTGCCTGTTCAGTCCAACTCGCCGCGTTGCATTCTCCCTGCCTGTGCCCTACATCGATCTGACCTGATAGTTTCTACGGTCGAGATCTTTGGCTCAGCGCGCCGCGCCGCCAGTTCTGGCCCACAACGCTTCGGAGCGACACGCTATCCACGTCCCAGTCCCCAAGCATCAAGCACCACGCGGAGCGGAGCGACACTCGATACGCTCGCACGGCATAGCGTGTCGCCGGGGCCGCCATCGCAACACGCTAAGATTCCCGACCTGATAGTTTCTATGTCTGATGTCTTGCTCCGTCCTCCCCATCGTTGTTGTCGTTGCCGTCTCTGCCCGCCCGACGCTGCACTGCTCCACAGCAGAGCTGCCAGCAGCGTATTGTAATTGATTGTGTCACCATTTTGCCGACGCACCTCTGACATGCACCGCTTTCTCTTTTTGTGTCTCTCTCTCTCTCTCTCCTTGTCTCTTTCTGTCTCGCTCTCTCTCTCTCTCTGTCTCTCTCGTCTCCGTGGATGCATCGCCACTCAGTACACTCCCCCCTTGAATTTGGGCTGCTTGGGGGGTCGCGTTCGAAAAAGAAGCTCACTCTCGTGCGCAGCCGAGGCAGGGTGGGGTGGCTGGGTCACGAGCATCGCGCAGCGCGCACAGGAGCATCCCACCCACAACAATCCCTTTGGGGGGTTAGACGAGCGCGTGCACTTCTCGTAAGCACTAGAGCCGCTCCTGCGGCCCTGGAGGCGGGCCACGGGGTCCAGACGGCTCAAGGAGGTAAGGAGGAAAGGTGGAGGGAACGGTGAGAGAGGGAAGCTGGCGACGGCTCGAAGATAGCTCTTTCCCCTCAGTGCACTCGAAGGGAGAAGAGGGGGAGGAAGAGAATCGAGTGGGAGAGGGAGGATGAGAAGGAGGAGGAAAAGGAGGAGGAGGAGGAGAAGGTGGTGGAGGAGGGGGAGGAGGAGCAGGAGCAGCAGGAGAAGCAGGAGTGGGAGGAGCAGGAGGCGAGGAGGAACGCGGTACCACACACACACCTACTCTCTCTCTCTCTCTCTCACTCACACACATTCAGACACACACGCACATTCACATTCATCCGCGCACACACAGCACACACAGACGCACACACACACACTCACACACGCAACACAGACACACACACACATGTGCGTCGGCGGCTCGGCAAAGGGACTGCGCTAGCGAGTAAAGCCAAACGGGGCGCGCTAGGCGAATTCAACCACCGTGCAGTGGGAGGGAGGAGAACGACAAGGCGCCGGCCGGTGAGGGGAACTAAGCGGAGCTCGGCCCGCTCAGAGCACACACGCACGCACACGCGCGCACACACATACACACACACACACGCACACGCACACGCACACACACACACACACACACACACACACACACACACGCCCACAAGCCCGCACGCCCACACGCACACGCACACACGCACACAAGCACACACAAACACGCAAACACACAAACACAAGCACACCTCGGCGAGGAAGAAAGGGAGGAGGAGGAGAACTACCGCCACAGGTTAACCTAAGGTCGGTCTAAAGTAACAAAAACAGGGAAGAGGAGGAGGAGGAGGAGCAGTATCATCCCAAGAATCATCAAGGATGTTGGGACCAACGCAGACCAACCCTCCCTCTAAGCTCCCTCTCCATGGGCCCCTACAAGGGTTCATTTCCACTGAGGGAACTGCCCCGTTGAGAGACAGTCGTTAGAAAACCTTGAAGCATCCCAAACCACCATCCCCGGGGCTCCAGCGCCTCGGAGCAACTTGACTGTCATGTCTTGACGGTCCTGAGTCGCGCCAGAACACCATCTGGGATTTTAGCACCGCGAATCAACGTAATTGTTGCGCCTTCACAAGCCCGAGTCCTCCCAAACAACGTGGACCATCGGAATCCAACAAAACATAGAAATGCTGCAGAATACCATGCGAGGCGCTAGGGCGAGAGCCACATTTTGAAAACCAGCCGCCCTCAACATGAAACTCTTGCAAACTGTTAAGACGAATGCGCGCGTGCGCGCGGCGCTAAGGCGAGAGCCACATGTTGAAAACGGTCCGTCCTTAATCCGTGAAGCTCTTGCAGCTTGTTCCCCACATCCTACGTGGGGTTTTTGCTTTGTTGGGACACCCCGCGCATTCATGTCACCCACACCCTTCTCTTCTCCAAATCATTCACTCACTCGCTCGCTCGCTCACTCACTCACTCACTCACTCGCTGACTCACACCTCACCATCGCCATCACCATCATCATCACCATCATCTTCAACAAATCATCACCATTGCCATCATCAACACAGCGATATTCGCATCACAAACATATCTATCATCATCACCATCATCAGCATCACCCCCTTCCTCACTCGCACATTCGCTCGACACTCTTCACCCTCTTACCCACTCGCAACCACACCATGACCATCACCATTTTCATCACACCCTCCCTGTCATTCACCACCACTCATCACCATCATCATCACCAGCACCTTCATCATCTTCATCATCATCAGCATTATCATCATCATCATCATCATTATTTTGGAGCTTCATCGGCCTGAATATGGAGGAAGCCTCGTGAAGGAGCCTCATATGTAAATGAATTGTGAGGAAGTCTCAGGCGGGAGCCCCTCTCCCTATGGGGCCCGCAGCTCATGTTATTAATCCGAGCGGGCCACCCGAAAACTTGTAACTGCTGTGGATTTTTGGGGAGGCCCTCGTGCGTGAACATGGAGGCAGCATCAAGCGGGAACCTCATCTGTGAGTGCATTGCGAGGAGGTCTCAGGCGGGGCCCCTTCTTATGGCCCGCACTTCACGTTGGTAATCCGAGCGGGCCATCCGCAAACCTGTAGTTGTCGTCATTGCTGGGGGCCCTCATACATGAACATGGAGGAAGTATCAGGCGGGAACCTCGTTTGTGAGTGAACTGCGAGGAAGTCGAAGTCTCAGGCGGGAGCTTCCTCTTTAAGGGGCTTGCATTTTTCTTGGTAATTCGAGCGGGTCATCCGCAAACGTGCAAGTGTCGTTTTTTTTTTTCGGGGGGGCCATGCATGAAGATGGAGGAAGCATCAAGCGGGAACCTCGTTTGTGAATGAACTCCCAGGAAGTCCCAGGCGAGAGCCCCCTCTTCATGGGGCCCGCAATTGATGTTACTAATCGGAGCGTGTCCTCCGAAAACGTGTAATTGTCATTGTTTGGGGTCTTCAGGTTTGAATGTGCAATGTGAGGCGGGGGCCTCGTCTGTGAGTGAATTGCGAAGAAGTCTCAGGCGGGGACCCTCTTCCTGTGGGACCCGCGGGTTACGTTACTAATCCGAACGTGTCTTCCGCAAATTTGTAACTGTCGGCACTTTTGGGCTCTTGAGGTTTGAATATGGAGGGTCTATGAGGCGGGAGCTTCGCTGTGAGCGAATCGCGTGGAAATCTCAGGCGGAGGCCTTTCCATATGGGGCCCGCAGATCATGTCACCAATCCGAGCGGGTCCTCCGAAAACTTGTAATTGTCGTCGCTCTTGGGTACTTGAGGCCTGAATGTGGGGGACGTAGGAAGGTGTTATCTGAGATCCCTTGCGTCTTCGAGCTGAAGGGCACGAAGCGCTTCGAGCCCAGAGGCCCTCTGATCGCGTTCTTGAGCTCCTTGAGCGAGGGCAGGCCTTTCCCAGCAGAGGTTTGGTCTGCCTGGGAAAATACGTTTGCTTCGGACAACCACGGCGTCCTGAACCGTCGGCACCAGCACGAGAATTTTCGGCTCGGCTACGGCATGGGCATCTACTGGGAGACGCTGGCGAGGTGCATCAAAACCCGCGCTCGTCGCGACGCGCGGCGTCTCGGCGTGCCCCTCGTTTTCCTGCTGGCCGTAGACGAGTGCAGCGCGAGTCAAGGCGATCCAGACGCGGGTCGGCGCCTGCTGAACGTCCCGAACATGCATAAGACGGGGGACATCCACGGCGTCTAACCGGCACGCGTCGGCATGGAGGTTCGGTCCACAGCCGTGCAGCGCGCCGGGCCAGTTCTTTCGCCCCCGCCTCCTACCGCGGGGAATTCGGATGCAGGCCCACGACATCAAGGAGTCCCCGACCTACAAGGAGGTCGTCGAGCTGCTGCTCCAGGGCGCCGAAGGCGCTGACGACGACGGCGAGGCCGAGGCGCGGGCGAGGAGCTTGCTCATGTTCAGGCCCAGCGAGCACGAGTTCACCTGGCAGACCTCGGGGACGCACGTCGCGCGCCGCTCGGGGCTCACCCTCGCGCGCGCCCCACCTGACCTCCACGCTGTCGCAGGGCCGGACGCTGCGCAACGGCGCCACCATCGACTGCGCCAGGGATGAGGCGCTGGCCGCGCGGGGGTGTCGGGCGAGCAATGGCGGTTGCGCCTTTGCGCCATGTTCCCCCGCGCCGCGCGCATGCGGAACACGCTGATCCCGCAGCCGCCCGCGCGGGAGTTCCTGGAGCGCGGGCCGGCGGCGCCCCTGCGGAAAGCGCTCGAGGAGTTCGACAAGAAAGCGGCGATCTCCATGGCTGCAGCGGAGCACCTCACGGCGAAACTGGACATCGTGCTACCACCCGCCTGAGCGCGGCCGCGTTTAAGGGTTGACCCGACGGCTGGCTCCCGCGCCCCAGCGGTTCGCGGGGTTGCCCCAACGGCTTCGCCCGCGGGGCTGCCCCGACGTCTTCGCGATTTGGCCATCGGAAAACGCGCCCACGCCGGCCGCAGCGGCAACGGCGCCGAGGAACATCGGTTCGCCCCGGCCAGGAGGCAGGGGAGGTGCACGGGGAGAACAGGCAGGACAATGGGCAGGACGGGGAGGAGGAGGGGGAAGAGGAGGAGGAGGAAAAGGAAAAGGAGGAGGAGGATAGGGAGGAGGAGGAGGAGGAAAAAGAGGAGGGGGAGGGCGAGAAGGAGGAGGAGGAGACGGAGGGCGTTGATGATGATGATGATGATGATGATGATGATGATGATGATGATGATGACGGCGACGATGGTGGATGACGATGATGTTGATGGTGTTGATGGTGTTGATGATGATGATGATGATGATGATGATGATGATGATGTTGATGATGATGATGTCGATGTCCATGATGATGACGTATGATATGACGACGATGATGAGGGGGAGGTGTAGGAGGAGGAGGCGCAACAGAGGGCGGGAGGAGGGCGTCCGCCAAGGCGACGAGGAATAAGCGAGCGGCAAGCTAAACATACTCTCGTGTGCGGTCCCACCGTCGGATTTATTCAAGTGAGCGCGCGCGGCGCTATGGCGGGAACCACATTTTGGAAGCGGCCCGCCCTCCATTTGCGAAGCCGTGACCAACGTTTTAGCTTCAGGGCCATCAATGGTGAGAAAATTTCCCGCAAAACGCCCAGCCCGCCCTTTCGACCGGCCTCGGGGTGCGACAGGGAGGAGGTAGTCATAGGGAAAGGTATGGAGGAGGAGAAGGAGAAGGACGCGCAGGAGGAGGAGGAGGAGGAGGAGGAGGAGGAGGACGACGACGACAACGTTGACGACGAGGAGGCGAGCGGGAAGGCGCTACTGTGACGTACTCACGCACGCAAGCACGCACGCACGCGCACACATACAGACACACACACACACGCGCGCACACACACGCATACTTGACGATGTCATGAGGTGCCCCTGTGGCTAAGGCAACTTGTTAGGTAAGATGGTGCGGTAGCCGAACGTGTGCACAAAGTTGGCGATCCGCGCTGCCGATGGGCAGGTCGAACAGGAGGCACAGCGTACATGTAACTGCGTTGGGCTCTGGCGGGGATTCGCAGCACACTCCACTCGCAGCGTGAAGCGTATGCCCCCAGCTTGGAATGCCACTGGTGTATTACACACCGCCGTGCGTGGCAAACTGGCCGCGGCGACAGGAAAGCAACTCCTGCCGGCACCTACTGGCCCTTCAGGACACGAGAAAAAACACAGTGCGCACGCGCTTCACCAGTACACGCTACGACGCGCGCGGACGAGAAGGAGAGGGAGGAGGCGAACGCCCAGCAGTTCGACGTGCTGGCGCCGCGTCAAGGAAAAAAGGAGGAGAAGGAGGACGAGGAGGGCTGAGGACAGGAGGAGTAGGAAGAGGAGGAGGAGGAGGACGGACGGAGTGCAGCACAAAGAGGAGGGGCAATGAGGAATGAGAAAGGAGGGGCAGGAGGGCAAGAGGCGGCAAGCCGCGCGTCGGCTACGCGGAGTTCGTCGACCACTTCCGCGACGCCTGCACGCTGAGAAACATCTGGAGGCGCATCGATACGGATGGCAGCAACGAGATCTCCAAGTTGGAGGTCATCGCCGCCGTCAACAAGGACATGGACGATACATCCATTACAGGGGGGTCTGCCCGTCCCCTCCCCTTCCTCCTCCTCCCCCCCTCCCCCCCTTCCTGCACCTGCGGGAAACGGGCGACTGGGCGAGGAGAGAGAGAGAGACAGAGAGAGAGAGAGAGAGACAGAGACACAGAGAGAGAGAGAGAGAAAGCGACAGAAAGAGAGAGAGAGAGAGAACGAGAGGGGAGAAGGGAAATCGCTTCACCGCGTGGAGTCCTCGCACCCTCCAGGATCCAGAGGTGGCCGCCCTGCTCTTCCCAGGCGCCTCGCCGGTCCGCCGCGAGCTCAACTTCGAGGCCGTGGATGCGGCGTTCGACGAGATCGCAGGCGTCCAGGGAGGAGGGTGTGTGATAGTCTTGATTCGCTGGATGGCTTTCCTATGGTCTTGGGGGTGTGCGTGGGGCCTCCGAAAGGGGGTTCGGGGATCTCGCGGGGGGAGCTCTGAGAAGGAATGGGGGAGGAGGAGGAGGGAGGTTCGGATATCATGTATGATGGATGTGGCACACCCACCTGTCCCGAATTCCTTGTTCGTATCATGTCGGTCCAGTTGGTCCAATTCCATTGCGGCGAGCGCACGCACCGAAGTGTGCGAGAGTGCCCCGCGGACTTGCCGGGCCAGGAAGCGCTCGAGTGGTGGTACCCCAGCGGCCCCCTCCAGCGCTTGTGTAGACAGACCCCGAAGACAGACTCACAGACACACAGACAGACAGACAGACAGACAGACAGACAGACAGACAGACAGACAGACAGACAGACAGGCAGGCAGACAGACAGGCAGACACACACACACACACACACACGGGGCGTTCCACACACGTGATGGTTCTACGCAGGTGGGGCTCTGCACGCGTTGGGCTTGGGTGTGCGTTGGGACGTCGGTGGGAGCGTGGGTTTGGACGTGGGTTCTGGCGTGGCTTTTGGGACGTGGCTATGGACGCGGGGTCGGACTTGGGCGTCGACGTGGGTGTGGGCGTGGGCTGCTACTCGGACTCAGATCGGGATTTTTTGGACGTGGAGACGTGGGCTTGAGCTCCACACATGTAGGGTTGCACACATGAGGTTCCACACACACACACACACACACACACACACACAGAGGGCTCCACATGCTTCTTCCTCTGGCGCGTGCGCCGCGCGTACCTCGGACTGGCTTCCTCATGAAGCAGTGCGGGATCCAATACCAGAGAACATGGGGGGGCGGATCCGAGCCCGAAGAAAGCGCGAGGGTCCCACACAGACGGGGTTCCACACGCGGGTCTTCAAACATACGCACACACGATATCTCTCTCTCTCTCTCTCACTTTTCGCGCGCACACACGCGCACACCCACACACACACACACACACACACACACACACACACACACACACACACACACACACACACGCGTAGGGTTCTACACACATACACATGGTGCTCCACACGTATGATGGCTCCACGGAGCGCAGGAGGAGGAGGAGGAGGAGGAGGAAGAGGAGGGCCAGGGAGGAGGAAGTCAGGGGCGAGGATCGAGGACGAGAACGACGACGAGGGGGTGAAGGGGGAGGAAGAGGCGGCAAGTCGCGCGTCGGCTACCCAGAGTTCGTCAACCACCTCCGCCACGCCTGCGCGCTGAGAAGCATTTGGAGACGCATCGATGCGGACGGCAGCAACTCCATCTCCAAACTGGAGTTCATCGCCGCCGTGCACAAGGAGAGGAGTGACACATCCATGCAGTGGCATGTGTCCTATCTCCTCCTCCTCCTCCTCCTTCTCCTCTTCCTCCTCTTTCTCATCCTTCCATCCCTCCACCGGTAGGCAAGGTGACGAGACGGGTGGAGAGGGTAATTTCGAGGACGAGCAGCAGCAGGAGGAGGGAGAGGGGAGGATCGTTTCATCATGCGGACCCCCCGGCTCTGCCAGGAATCGGAGGTGGCCGCGGTACTCCTACCAGGCGTCGACACTGGTTCGGCGCTCAGCCGTGAGCTCAATTTCAAGGCCTTGGACGAAGCATTCGACAACATCGCAGGCGACAGTGAGGGAGAGAGGACGAGGGTCTGATGCACATTGTGTGGCAACTTCCCCATGGTCTTGGGGGTGGGCGAGTGGGGTCCAGAAGACTCTGGGGTATCTTGGCAGTCACGAGCCACGAGATGGAGGGGGAAGAGGGGGGCAGAGGAGGAGGAGGAGGAGGAGGAGGAGGAGGAGGAGAAGGGGGTGGAGAGTGAGAAAGAGGCGGCAAGCCGCGCGTCGGATACTCGGAGTTCGTCGACCACTTCCGCGACGCGTTGTCGCTGAGAAGCATTTGGAGACGCATCGACGCGGACGGGAGCAACGAGATCTCCAAGCTGGAGGTCATCGCCGCCATCAACAAGGATAAGAGTGATGCATCCATGCAGCTCCCCTTCTCCTCCTCCTCCTCCTCCTCGTTCTCCTCCTCCTCGTCCTCGTCCTCGTCCTCCTCCTCATCCTCCTTCTTCTCCTCCTCCTCCTCTTTCTCCTCCTCTCACTCACCTTGTGGGGAATAGGGAAGAAGAGAGGGATGGCAAGGGGGGGAGGAGGAAGGATGAGGAGGAGGAGGAGGAGGAGGAGGAGGAGGAGGAGGAGGAGGATGTGCGCAAGGTGCGCAAGCATACGACACTCTGTGCTCTCGCCTGTAGGCAGAGAAGCCTCAGCGCAGTTTGGCCCGAAGCGGCGCCCGCTGCTCGCAGCTCCAGACGGCACGGCCGGCGGCTCCGATCCGACTGGCGGCATCCCTGCACTGGAAATGATCGGCCCGGCGCCTGCGCTGGCCGCCCAGGACCAGAAGAAACGGAAGATGTACTTGCGAACGTCGGCCGGCAGACAGAAGATAGAAATTTGGTTGTCGCAGGAGCGCAGGGTGCCCCATCGACTGAAGCCAGTCCGTCAGCGGCGGGGACGTGCACGAGAGGCAGGCACAGCAGGACCATGACCGAGTCGGAGAAGGTCGCGGGGAAGCAGGGGCCCCAGCTTTGCGGCGAAGCTGGGCCTGAGCGAGGTGGGCTGGAGACTCGTGTGCGTCGACCTCGTGGAGTTCGACCGAGTGCTAGCAGTTCGCCAGCGCCGCCTCCGCCGCATGCTGAGGGAGAGCCCTGGCTAGTCAACGGCCACCAGCTGATGCAGGGCCAGGTCCTCGGTGGGTCCGCGGCGCCGCTCCTCGTTTGCACGGCGTGCTTCAAGTACGCCAGGACGCCCAGGATGGCATGGAAGGGGCTCCGCGATACCTGCTGCGGGGCGGCCCCCAGGCCTCGGCAGGGGTCGCGGGCCCAGGCCAGAACGGACCCGCAGAAGGGGAGGCCCCCCTGGCACGAAACAGCCGTTCGGCGAGCTGCTGCCCCCCACGGCGGCCATCAGGGTGCAGTGGGCCGCGCAGCTGGGCGCAGAGGCGCAAGGCTTGGAAGGGAAGGCGGCAGTGGAGCGGCTGTCCCAGCCGAGCGGCCCAGTGCCAGCGCGGCGGCGCAGGCGGAGGCGCTGCCTGTTGCGGGCAGGGCGGCAGCACAGCGGGCTCCGCCAGCCGCCGCCCGCTCCGAGCACAAGGCAGGGCTGATAATGCCGTCCTTGGTGGCTGTGGCTCGCTCGCGCGGATTCCTCGACCTGGCGCAGGCGCGGGCCAGGGGTTTGGCGGCGCGCGGTGAGCGGCCCCATCGTAGTGTATATGCGTCATGGCGGGCGCGTTCTGGCCGTACCGCTCGGTAAACGATGTACTACAAGATGGGTATACCATATGTTCGGTGGATCGGACGCGCGCTTCCGAGGAGGACACATAGTCTTGGTATGTTTCTGTGCGTCCCAGAGAAGTCCCTCCTCCCCCGATGTCCCCCAGGGGCCCACACAAGCTCTGGGGCGCTTCCGAGCCTTCACAGATCAACGAAGCGCGTGCCCCAAAGTGTCTCGCGGCAAGATCTCTTGTCGCAGTTTTGTGTCGACTGCAGTGTCCTCGAACGGCGGAGCGGCGAGAGCAGCACGATGAGCAGGCAACCCAGCAGCAAGATGCGGGCGGCGGCCTCACCACTGTGTGTGGCACCCGCGGGAGCGGTCACAGCGGCGGTAATGGGCGCAGGGAGCAGGGAAGAAGAAGGGCGGTGTCTTGGCATCGCTCGGACGTGTGCGTTTTTTACCTAACAGCTTTTGCTGGTAGGTTTCTAGTGGACTCAAAAGAGAGCAGCAGATGACTCCACAGGGGGGTCGGGGCGGCATCCGGGGAGCTGTGTCCGAACTCGTGTCCGAATTCGTTTTTTTCAAACACTCACACACTTCGTGCTCTTCGAGTGCCCAGAACTCCATTCCCGGGACACATTCTGAATGCCCGGAGCCAACTGTAGGCCACTTCGTGCTCTTCGAGTGCCCAGAACTCCACTCCCGGGCCACATTCTGAATGCCCGGAGCCAACTGTAGGCCACTTCGTGCTCTTCGACTTCCCAGAATTTTATTCCAGGGCCACATTTTGAATGCCCGGAGCCAACTGTAGGCCACTTCGTGCTCTTCGAGTTCCCAGAACTCCACTCCCGGGCCACATTTTGAATGCCCAGAGCCAACTGTGGGCCACTTCGTGCTCTTCGAGTGCCCAGAACTCCATTCCCGGGCCACATTCTGAATGCCCGGAGCCAACTGTAGGCCACTTCGTGCTCTTCGAGTGCCCAGAACTCCATTCCCGGGCCACATTTTGAATGCCCGGAGCCAACTGTAGGCCACTTCGTGCTCTTCGAGTTCCCAGAACTCCATTCCCGGGCCACGTTTTGATGCTGATGCAGAGGCTGAGAGTGGTGATGCTGATGCTGAGGCTGAGGCTGAGGCAGGCAGGCTGAGGCTGGGCAATCAAGGCAGGTGACAAATTGATTGTGGATCTGAAGCAGCTGAAGGCGACTGAGGCGAAGGGGACAGGTGAGGCTGGGCAGGGCACAGGCTGAGGCTGAGGCTGAGGCAGGCTGAGGCTGAGGCCGAGGCTGAAGGCAGACTGAGGCTGAAGGCAGACTGAGGCTGAGGCTGAAGCAGGCTGAGGCTGAGGCTGAGGCAGGCTGAGGCTGAGGCTGAAGCAGGCTGATACTGAGGCAGGCTGAGGCTGAGGCAGGCTGAGGCACAGAGGCTGAGGCTGAAGGCAGACTGAGGCTGAGGCTGAAGCAGGCTGTGGCTGAGGCAGGCTGAGGCTGAGACTGAGGCAAGCTGATGCTGAGGCAGGCTGAGGCTGAGGCTGAGGCAGGCTGAGGCTGAGGCAGGCTGAGGCTGAGGCTGAGGCTGAGGCTGAGGCTGAGGCTGAGGCTGAGGCAGGCTCAGGCAGACGCTGAGGCAGGCTGATGCTGAGGCAGGGTGAGGCTGAGGCTGAGGCTGATGCAGGCTGAGGCTGAGGCAGGCTGAGGCTGAGGCTGAAGCAGGCTGAGGCTGAGGCTGAGGCAGGCTGAGGCTGAGGCTGAAGCAGGCTGATACTGAAATAGCAGGCTGAGGCTGTGAATGCAGCTGAGCAACAGAAGGCTGACGGCTGAAGCAGACTGAGGCTGAGGCTGAAGCAGGCTGAGCTGAGGCTGAGGCAGGCTGAGCTGTGCTGAGGCAGGCTGATACTGAGGCAGGCTGAGGCTGTGACTGCGACTGCCGCTGCCACTGCGACTGTCATCGCGAATGCGACTGCGACTGCGAGAACAGCAGAACTCTACAACCGGATTCTCATCTGAATCTTAAGGGGAATGCTTCCATATATGCTTCTACACATCGCTGTTAGGTTGCTTTGCCGGGATAATTTTTTCGGCGGCGGCCATCGAGGAGCACCCCTGGACCCTCTTGCGAAAGCATGGACGCACGAAGCCGACAAGTGCACGGGGAAGGGGCGATGGCACGGTGGGGGGGCAGCAGGGACCTCGGGTGCCGCGGGCATGGCAGCCCCCCCTCCAGGGTGCCCCCCGGCACAGCGTGCCGCTCGGCCCCCCACCCCACCCCCGCCTATGGGCCTCGCGAGGGGTGCCCCGGGAGGCCGCGGCCTCCCCCCTGGAAGTCCCTGCAGTCGAGGCCCATGCCAAGAAACGCCCTGCTTGCATCCAGGGTGCCCTGTTTTTGTTGGGGGTCTCGATGGTCTTGCTGTGGGAGGCGTGGCGCTCCCACTCCAAAAACCGGTGGACGTCCTGGGGTCTCAGGGTTGGGTTTCTCGTGGAAGGTTTCTTGTGGTCGGGCCTCCACTGTAGGGGGACACCCTGGCCCAGGGACGCCTCCCTTTCTCACCCCGCCCTTCGCCGGACAGCACTCGGGGGCGGCCGAACCGACCCCGAGTAGTCTAGGCCCTCCCAGATGGGGTCGGAGCAGATGGGGTCGGAAGATCGCGCCGACGTCGCCGATGTACCGCCGACGCAGCTCGATGTGAAGCCTGATTTTCTCCGCGCCGACGTCGCCGATGCATCGAGGACGCCGCCGATGCATTGGCGATGCTTGGGCGATGCGGCTCGATCATCCGACCCCATCTGCTCGGACCCCATTCAGGAGGCCTCTAAGCAAGCCATCCCCTTTGCTCCGGAGGGACAAAAGCACACGGACACAAGTCGTCGTCGATCCCCCAGGGAATGTATAGGAAAATATGGGGGAAGTGGGGGGAAGACAAAATAAACATAACATATGGGAAACTATGTGGGGGAATCTGGTGATTTGTGTCTATTCCTTTGTGTGTCCCAGGGCCCCCGGAAATAGGGGAACATATGGGAAGTGGGGGGGGAAGACAAAAACCCAGAAAATCTTGGAAAATATGGGGAATCCTGTGATGTGTGTCTCTTCCTTCGCGTGTCCCAGGGCCCCTTCCTTTGTGCCGCCCCCCTCGCCACGCCCCGCGCCCGGAGCCTCACGCGGCCTCTGCCCGGGCCCTGCGTGGCGGGGCGCGCCGAGGGGCAGCTCCAGGTGCCGCCGCCCTGATACCCCGCCTCTGTGCACCCCTGGCCCTCCTCCTCCCATCCTCCTCCTCCTCCTCCTCTACCTCTCCTCCTCCTTCTCCTCCTCCCCCCTTCCCCTGCCCCTCCTCCTGCTCCCTTCTCCTCGTCCTCCTCCTCCTCCTCCTCCTCCTCCCCTCCTCCTCCTCCTCTCCTCCTCCTCCCTTACTCCTTCCTCCTCCTTCTCCTTCCTCCTCTCCTCCTCCTCCTCTCCTCCTCCTCCTCCTCCTCCCACCTCCTCGCTCTATCATCTCGGCACCAGACGCAGCGTGAGTTGAGCTCCCCTCCTCCTCCTCCCTCCTCCTCTTCCTCTCCTCCCTCCCCCCCTTCGCTACCTTCTCTCTCTCCTCCTCCCACCCGCCTCCCTCCCTTCCCTCCTCTCCTCCTCCTCCTCCTCCTCCCTCCTATCTCATCCTCCGATCGCTTCCTCCTATATTATCACTCCTCCCTTCCTCCTCCTCCTCTCCTCCTCCTCCCTCCTCCTCCTCCTCCTCCTCCTCCCCCTCCCTCCTCCCTCCTCCCGCCCTCCCTCCTCCCTCCTCCCTCCTCCCTCCTTCCCTCTCCCTCCTCCCTCCTCCTCCTTCATCCTCCTCCTCCTCGGAGACCTGGGCCGTCGGCCCGTCCCCCTCAGGACCCCCGCTCAGGGACAGTTCATCGCCGGTTCCCCAGAAGACATGGGAAAACATGGGAATTGGGGGTGGGAAGACGCCGACCCCGAAAACATGGGAAGAGGTGGGGGATCCAGGGACTTGTCTTTGTTTCTTTGTGTGTCTCTGTGCCCCTTCAGCAGCGCCCGAGGGGAGGAGCCCAGGGAGGATAGCCCCACCTCTGCGGGCTCCTCGACCTCCCGCCCAGGACCCCGAGGTGGCGGCGCTGCTCCTCCCGGGCGCCTCGCCAGTCCGCCGCGAGCTCGACTTCGGAGCCGTGGACGCGGCCTTCGACGAGATCGCAGGCGGCCAGGGGCAGGGGGCACTGGGTGTTGCTCGCGTTCGCTGCCTCCCCCCCTGCGTTGATCACTGGACCTCCCCCCCGCGCTGATCACCGGACTGGGGCCGTGCTTCCAGGTTCCTGGGAGCTCCCAGGTGCTCGGTGGCAGTCTCACGTGCCGCCACGGCTTCCGGGGACCCCGCGAGCAGCCCAGGGGGGAAAGGGACGGCTGATGGACAAAGTCCTGCACCGCCCGCGCGACCAGCGTGCCGGCGCGAACTTCAACGCGCCCCCAACTGCCCCCGATTCAATGTTGGTGGGCGTCGCCAGCGGGATGCAGGATCTCGGCCAGTCGACAGATCGACCCATCGCGTCGCAGACCCCCAATATTGAATTGGGGGCGTGGGGGGGTGTTCACAACTTTTAGCATAAATGGTGCAGGATTCTGTCCACTGACCGGGGGAGGGTATGGGTGTGTCTTACTATTTTGCGGCCGCGGGTCTCCTGTGGCCTCGGGGGTGGGCGAGGGTGCCCCAGGGAGGAGAAGAGGGACGGAGGAAGAGAGCAAAGCCAGAGCTGCAGTGCAACCTCGCCCAGCTGCGCTGCCGCGTCCTCGCCGTGCACGCGCCCGCCCGCGGAGGTGGCCAGGCGCGGCCATCAGAGGCTTCCTTTCCCTTCGGTCTGGGCCAGGGGCCGCGGCTCGCAGGCCAGAGGAGTTTGAGCGCGAGGAGATGCACCCTCGCGGCCTGAGGCCCCCCCCTGCACGCAGGTCGGTGCCACAGCTGCCCCCTCCACGGCGGCCAGCGCCCCTTCGCGCCGGAGTTGTGACGATGCCCCGTGGGCCTTCCACGGCGTCCTGGGCCAGGGATGGCCCGAGTGGTGCCAGGAAGTTGGATGCACATGGCGCGGCCAGCCTGGGCGAGAACTGCACACCCGCGTGGCCAGACGTCTTCCCGGCGCTCGGCAGTGCTGCGGCCGTGCAGGCCAGGCTTCCGCACGTGCTCCCAGCGCGTGGCCTAGGGATGTCCCACACATGAAGCCAGCCATGTACTCACCCAGCCTCCTCGTAATATTCCTCTGGAGGGCCGAAAAGGCAACGGAGAGAACTGGGACGAAGACCAGCAGCAGTTCCTGGCTACCTGTTTTGAGCAGGGCTCGCTGTCGGTGTTGCGGCGGGCTTTGCCATTTCGAGACAGAGGTCGCCTGCCCATCAGCGGCCCCTGTTGGTTCGGGTCAACATTTCGTCTTCTCGGTGTTCAGCAGGAAGAACCGACCGTAGGTCAGAACATGCACAAATTTTGAATAATTCTGAGAACAGGAAGAAATCGAGAAACATAAAGAGGAGCAAGACGAAGTAAGGGGAATGTGGGTGCTCTTCGGGAAGTCTGTTAACGATCACTCCAGAGCGCACAAGGACCAACAAGGCCATACGCGCGACGGCTACCATGAGCACACTGCGCCAGCGCCGCCTGCATGAAGGATGCGCCTGGAGAGTAACCCGTCCCGACGCTGATTGGCATCGTCCCTGTGTCTGTCCGTCCCCACCTGGTGCGTGCCAAGGTAAAATTATTGTGGCACCGACAGAGGCCTGGGGGTCGGGAAAGCTGGAGGAGTCAACCGTGCTACGCAGCGTGCCGAATCGCAGGTCGCCATCGACACGTGCGCTTGGCAGGAGCGTTGAGAAATTGTCGCGCGGCTCTGAAGCGAGAACACGTTTCTGAGCACGCCCCCCCCCCCCCCCGAAACCCGTGCGACGGTTGATCCAGGGCTTGATTTTGGGAACGAGGCGCCATGCGTGCAGCCGTGGAAACATGCAAGGCCCACTGTCACGACCCGTGGGGGATGAGGCAGGCTCAACACGAACTAGATTTGGAGTCCGTCCTCTACCCGCGCAGCTTATCTTGGACATTGCTTGTGAGAAGTCCTCGGGCGGGAACCAGATGCTGAATTGCTCTGCCCTCCACCCGTGCATCGAGGGAGGGCCTCGCCCTGGAGGGGCCGATGCAGTTGACATTTCTTCTCGGGCGGAACGCGGCGGAAGGCCGGCGGGAGGCGGCGAGGGCAAAGGCGCACCAAGCACCGCTCTTCCAACCAAACACCGCCCCGCAATCCGCTCGAGCCCCGAAGCACGGAGCACCACCACGATTCGTGCACTCAGGCTTGCGCCATCGATGGACACATGTGAGGCGTTCCAGAAAGGGCCTTACCTTCGAGGATCGAAGGAGTTGTCATCGCTTCCGCGACGGAAGGCGGCGGAAGGGTGGCGGAAGTAAAACGAGGCCGCCTCCGCCGGCGGAAGCCGGCGGAAGGGCGGCGGAAGGCGACGGGAGTTTACAAGGTTGTACACCCAAGTGACGAAAACGTTTTTGGGCCCAGGCTTTCCGAAGTCCCTCATGTGCGCCATCGAACTTCAAGCTGATATCCCAAGCAGCACGATATCCCCCCGAGAGATGAACACGTTTTTGGGTTCGGAGTTTCCGCAATCGCCCATGTGTGCCATCGAACTTCACGCTGATATCCCAAGCAGCACGATATCCCCCAAGAGATGAACACGTTTTTGGGTTCAAGGTTTCCGAGATCGCCCATGTGTGTCATCGGATTTCATGCCGTTATCCCGAGCAGCACGATAGTCGGAAGTATAGGCTGGGCTTGCACGGAAGAGGGGCTGGTAAATAGCACGTGGGGCGGCTCCTCCGGCGGGTGATGCCGACGGAAGGCCGTCCCCCCCCCAAGAGGTGGCAGATGTCTCCGGGTCGGGGCTTCCAGAGCTCGCCAATTTTCAGAGTTCCAGATTGCAAAAGTCAGAAGGAGCTCGCCAATTGTCAGAATTCCAGATTTCAGAACTCAGAAGACGCGAGGAAATCTCATGGCGAGAGCCGTTTTTACAAAGTGAGCCGCACTCCATCCCTCGAACTGTTTCCAGCTGCCCTCTTCAGGAGCAGGCGTTCCGAGGAAGTTTTCCACGAGAGCCAGTTGTTGACAACGAACCGCCCTCTATATGCGAAACCGTTATAACTGTCCATCGTCAGCCATAATTTATAAGTGAGCGTCTGGCGACTTGCATGGACCGCCCTCCGACGCGGAGGAGGATGAAGGGGCTGGATAGGGAGGAAGAGGTGGCAAGTCCAAGTCGCGGGTTGGCTACTCGGAGTTCGTTGACCACCTCCGCGACGCCTGCGCACTGAGAAGCATCTGGAGACGCATTGATGCGGACGGCAGCAACTCGATCTCCAAGCTGGAGTTCATCGCCGCCACCCACAAGGAGAGGCGTGATACATGCGTGTTGTGGATTCGTTCCTCCCTCCCCCTCCTTTCCTTCCTCCCCCCTGCGAAGGAAGAGGAGGGAGAAGAGGGGAGGGGGAGTAGGGCGAGAAGGAGGAGGAAAAGGAGGAGGAGGAGGAGGAGGAGGAGGTGTGAGAAGGTGCGTAAGTGCACGGCAAGCCTGTGCCATGGCTTCTGGCTGGCGCAGAAGCCTAAGAGAGAGGGAGGGAGGAGGGATGGGAGGAGGAACGAGAAGAGGAGGGGCAACGGGAGGGAGGCAGGATGCGTCAGCGCGCGGACTCACCTCTCCTCCGACGCTACATTAATTCAACGCGTCGATCCCAGGGCTTCAACCATTTCCCTGGGGTCAGACTTTCATCCCGAGTCGCTTGAAAACTAATGAGAAGGACCAGAGGAGAGTCCCACTGGTGGGGACGGGAGCCCTAGACCGCCCGGACTGGCAGCCGGTCCAGCAGCCGTTTCGCTTTAGATTTCCTCACCATTCCTTCAGGAATCGTCTCGGGGGTGGACAGAACCCCCAACAGTGACACCTCGATTAGTGAATTGTCCGTTTTCGGTTCTCGAGAGGGCGCCGTGGCCGTTATTTTCCAGGCTTGCGCCCGCCAGGTTTGGGCCTCAGGTCGTTTTCACTAAACCACGTTTTACTAAAGGGGGGTCTGTCAATCCCCGATCGCCCTCTCGCCTCAACGGCCGCTACATATTTCGTCTGGACGGCCACGATCCCCTGTACGTAAAGATGCACTCAGGTGCACAGGGCTTTGCTCTCCCCCCCGTCCCAGCTCCAGCTCGCCTGGGGCTTCCTGACAATTCATCCAGGAGCCATGTTATTCTACAGGGCCGTTTTTTTATACATGCTCCGCGTGCGGATCATGTTTAAGACATGCAGGGATTTAGTATCTAAAGCAACGATGAGTTCATGCATTAATTCATTCATAGATTAATCATGTATTAAAAGTCCTATATTTTAAAACATGTATTAAAACAACTGCCCTCTAGGCCTCCAAGATGGGTTCGGAGTAGGTGGGGTCGGAGGATCGCGCCGCATCGCCAATGCATCGGCGATGCGGCTCGATGTGGAGCCCGATTTGTTTCACGTCGACATCGCGGATGCATCGCCGACGTCGACGATGCATCGCTGGTGCATCGCCGATGCATCGCCGATGCATCGCCGATGCATCGGTGATGTATCTCCGATATATCGGCGATGCGGCGCGATCCTCCGACCCCATCTACTCCGAACCCATCTAGAAGGTATCTGGTTATCGACTCAATGCTTGAGTACATTGTGGTCCGGACGGCCACAACCGTTTCCGGAGGAAAAATACTTTCACCTGTTCATGGCCGTGCTCTCAACCCTGTCCCAGCTCTGGTTCGCTGGAGACTCCCGTACAACTTATTCACGTGCTCTCGCCTCAGTGCCAGGTGCGTTTGTGGTCCGGACCGCCAGGATCCCTTGTAACACATACAAGGAGGCGGACATGGTCGAAGAGTTATTGAAAAACAGCGAGGAGTGCCACCGGGAGGGCCAGGGAGCCCGAAGAAACCACAGAAGAGCCTGGCACGGGGAGCGGAGAGCCTTGGACCGGCCCGTTCTGGCAACCGTTTCGCTTGAGATCCCGGTATAATTCGTGCAGGAAGCGCCCTCTCGCCGCAGTGCCAGCAGCGCGTGTGTTTTGTAGCAGCGTTTGGCTGGAGGCCCTTGTGGTGGTGAATAAGGCTGCAGAAAAGTCCCTCGTTCTGAGCCTGCGGCACGTCCACGGAGCGCCCTCACGTTTTTCCCGAAGAGCGCTGCGCCAGAGGGTTCTAATTGCGGTTAAAGACAAACGCAACAGAAGAGTCTCACGGGGGGGGGGGACGGGGAGCTCTAGTCCGCCCGGTCCTGTAGTTGTTTCGTCTGAAAATTCTGAAATCGTGTTCTCTCCTCAGTGCCAGCAGCATGTTTGGTCCGTCGGTCACGATCCTCTTTGTGCAAAACGCGATAAGAGAGAAATGGCCGTGCTCTCACCCCATGTCCTCGTATAGCCGAACTTCCCTACTCCTCGACCCGCCTTCTCACCTTTGCTGCTATTGGGGTGCTTTGCTGAGGTCATTCTGACGGCCCCGGAGCCCAGTCCTGCCCCAGAGGCGGAGCATCAGAAAAAAACGCCCGTCGTGCTTTCTTCGCGGAGAGGGGAGGTCTGGGGAGGACACGAAGCGCAATGCACAGGACCCACAGAGCACCCGTCGACCTCGCAGAGTCGACCTGTTCCCCAGACCCGGCCGTGTCCACCGCTTTTTCCCTTTTGAGCAGCTCCCTTGTTCCGTCGCACCGCTAGGCGTGTCGGCAGGGTGCCTTGCTGGGGTAGTTGTGACGGTCCTGGGCACAGAAGACTACCTCCCAGGGCCGAAAGTAGCGGAAAATTGGCCGCTCACCCGCTTCCCCGCACGGCTTCTTGCCGACGACGACGGTCACGACGAGAACGACGATTGCGACGTCGACGACGACGTCGACGACGTCGGGACGACGACGACGCCCACGACAACGAGAACAACGACGAAGGCGACGACGATGCCCACGATAACGAGAACGACGACGATGATGACGACGACGAGGACGACGTCGACGACGACGACGACGACGACGACGACGACGACGACGACGACGACGACGACGACGACGACGACGACGACGACGACTCGCCACCCCCCCGCGCCAGGACCCAGAGGTGGCCTCGGTGCTCCTCCCGGGCGTCGACACCGGCGCGCTGACGGGCGGATTCGAGGCCGTGGACGCGGCATTCGACGGCATCGCAGGCGGCAGGGGTGAGGACGTTGTCGTCTTCGGGGGGGAGTGGGGAGTGAAAGATTTCGCTTCGTCTTCGAAAGGGAGGGGGAGGGGGAGGAAGA